GTGAATTCTCCACTTCCCATTTCTTGTTTCTCATGGCCCGGCCACTGCATTGGCAACCAGCTTCTTTGTCCGAGGAATGGGCTATATGAAGTAGAAAAACAATGAAGCTGGAACAGCTGCCTGTACCCATGTTTATAAATGCGTTGGTACTATAATGTGCTAGTTGCTAGCATAAAGAACCGCCGCCGATCACGGCTGGGCTCGAAGTAGATCCATTTCCACAGTGTCACGGCAGCGTTGATGAGCAGTTCACAAGCTGATCAGAGAAGGGGGATTCATATGTGTTCTACCTGCTGACTGAGCTGTGTTGCCATAGCCCATCTTATATAACATAGAAGGCAGACCAGAGCAGGCACATGGTGGGTTGGTGACCCATTTCCAGTCTCATTTTGGCTGCCTCATCTCTTCAGCCCACTGACTATGGCCACACACATCAGTTCCTGAGCTCATCTGTCCCTGATGCCCTTGTCTCAGAGCCCCACCTCCTATATCCTTGCCCTGTGTATGAGAATTCTGAACAAGGTAGCTGTGTTTCATACAGGTTATAATCAAGTGACAATATTTGGATTTGAGGAAGGATTGTGTTACACACAACCTTAACACATTCACTGTTAGGCTTTCAAGCTTTCCCAAGGAAGTCCTGGTAATTATAAAGCAGTTGGTGCTGTATAAAGAAATGAGCCATTAATAATTGTTTTAAAACCATAAGTGCTTTTATTCCCTCACCTGGGCTAGCTCATTATAAACCTCACACCTCTTTTGTTCTTCCTTTTAATCCATAGCTTCTTAGATTAACTAATTGGGGTTAAATAAACCACCTGTCATTTCTGTGTTCATTGTGCTAATGAGGTTCATATATAAGCAGTGAGTCTGCAGCAGCTGCCACAGCTGTCAGCTCTAGTTCGTGGTCTCTTTAGACTTCAGTGCTTCAATTTAAAACATCCAGGTAGGGGCCGGCCCTGTGGCACAGAGGGTTAAGCCACAGCCTGCTGTGCCGGTATCCCATATGGGCACTGATTAAAGTCCCAGCTGCTCCACTTCCCATCCAGCTCCCTGCTAATGTGCCTAGGAAAGCAGTAGAAGATGGCCCAAGTCCCTGGGCCCCTGCCATTCATTGGAAAACCTGGAAGACTTGGCCAGTCCTGGCTGTTGTGGCCATTTGGGGAGTGAACCAGTGGATGGAAGATCTCTCTCTCTGTCTCCCCTTCTTTCTCTCTGTAACTCTGTCTTTCAAATAAATAAATAAATAAATCTTAAAAGCAAGTAGGCAGTAAGAGAACTACTGTGGAGCCACTTGTGTCCTAGTGAGTTGGGATTAGGGACCCTTTATTTAAGGTAGCTGATTGATTTCTTAAAAAGGTGACCCATTGTCATTTAAATTTCCCCTTGATTTTTTCTAACCTCTAATAGCACATTTGAATTTTGTGTTCTCATTTTCCTTTTAATAAAATTGTGAATTAGATATGACTTGACTTAGAAGAGGTAGGAGTAAGAAGCTAGGGTCCTGGTTAATATAAAACTAGAAAAACATGGGGCTGGCATCATGGCATAGCAAGTAAAGTCACCTCCTGCAACGCTGTGTCATATAGATGCCAATTTGTGTTCCAGCTGCTCCACTTCTGGTCCAGCTCCCTGTTAATGACCTGGGAAAAGCAGTGGAAGATGGCCCAGGTGTTTGGGACCCTGCTACCCTTGTGGGAGACGTAGAAGAACCTCCTGGCTCTTGGCTTCGGCCTGGCCTAGCACTGGTCATTGTGACCATCTGGGAAGTGAACCAGTAGAGGAAAGGTGTCTCTCCCCTCCCCCAGCCCTGTAACTGACTTTCAAATAAATAAATGAATCTTTAAAAAAAAAATCAGGCCAGCGCCGCGGCTCAATAGGCTAATCCTCCGCCTGTGGCGCTGGCACCCCAGGTTCTAGTCCCGGTCGGGGCACTGGATTCTGTCCTGGTCGCCCCTCTTCCAGGCCAGCTCTCTGCTGTGGCCCAGGAAGGCAGTGAAGTGCTTGGGCCCTGCACCCCATGGGAGACCAGGAGAAGCACCTGGCTCCTGGCTTTGGATCAGCGCAGTGTGCCGGCCGCAGCGCACCAGCCGCGGCGGCCATTGGAGGGTGAACCAACGGCAAAGGAAGACCTTTCCCTCTGTCTCTCTCACTGTCCACTCTGCCTGTCAAAAAAAAAAAAAAAAAAATCAGGTAAACATTCACATATTGGGCATGGGACCTGTTGCTGCTCCTTGATGATAGGCTGGCAGTGATTAGCATTTTATTTTTCACTATAGTAGCATGCTAGTGGGAGAAGCTTAGGCACTTTGCAAAGTGGAAACAGAAATACACTCACTGAGCCTCAACTCTTACATCTTCTCTTTCTGAAGGTGCACTAACAGAGTGCTATGATGAGCTGGGGAACAGATACCAGCTTCCCGTCTATTGCCTGGCACCTCCAGTCAACATGATCGAGGAAAAGAGCGACATAGAGACTCTGGATATTCCCGAGCCACCACCCAATTCTGGATATGAATCTCAGCTCCGCTTGCGCCTTTCCACAGGCAAAGACCTCAAACTGGTGGTCCGTAGCACAGACACAGTGTTCCACATGAAGAGACGGTTACACGCGGCCGAGGGGGTGGAGCCGACTAGTCAGCGCTGGTTCTTCTCTGGCAGACCTCTCACCGACAAGATGAAGCTGGAAGAGCTGAAGATTCCCAAGGACTATGTCGTGCAGGTTATAGTGAGCCAGCCTCTGCAAAACCCAACCCCCGTGGAGAACTGAATGGTTCCCAGACCCCGCACTCCTTGTCACTTCCTACTCTATGGCGTGAAATTTATTTTCACTGCTCCGAATTCCCTGTGAATGGATTTAGTTCTGAGGAATTACCAGTGAAAAATTCCATCTGTGATGGAGACCAACAAAAATAATAAGAACACAAAGAGCCAGCCTTGAGACTCCTGTAATTACAATTTCTAACTTGAGAGGCAGTTAAGATATAGATAACCGTTTATTTTAAAACACTCACCGACTATGTAATTGCTGTATTTAAATGATTTGGACTGTAAAGGGAACATTGCATACATGAAGAACAGCACCAAGCACCTTTTGAGTACAAAGTTTCCAGAAATACATAAATCAAATTATATGATTTCCAGATGCCATCAGTAACAGTTATAAAACATAAGCCCTTTTTTTTTTTCTTAATGGAAATGGAAAAGACCTGTATTGGAGGTTTGCTTCTATTCTCTTCTGGTTTGTTATTCTTAGCTCATGTCATGTGTAGTCATAGAGGAGTACAGACTGGCAGATTGTGTCTCTGTGTTGCTGTCCCCACACACATGTGTTGAACTCCTTATTTACATTTACACTACATTTTGGTGCCTTCCAGCACATTGGTGGCAGGCACCCTTCTGGAACTCTAGGCAATAATTTAGTCAGTGCAGTCAGGTCATCAGCTGATACTCAGTTGAATAGTCTCTTGTCCTCTTGTTGCATAGGTATTTTGAAATGTTTATGTAATAATAATAATAAGGCTGTTTTCATATCCAGGCTTGGAAGGTCACCACTGTATAATACCTTCATTGATCTATGTACTCTGCTTGAAACTTTTCATAGCTAACTATGACCCCAAATGTGTAGGTCCTGGGCCAGGGAACACAGGAATCAATTACAACTATTTCAACTAAGGATAATAATGTCATTCATTATATCTTCTCCCACTTTGTAGGAAGGGTATAGGGAAAACCCATTCCTGGGAGAAATATGCCTATCTTCCATCTTTCAGAGAAATTTCAACCCTCAGTTTACAAACATGAAGGGTTACTGGCATTACTTAGACATCAAGAGCAAGATGAAATGCTGAGATGTTGCTTTAAACCTTAGTGCTCTGACTTAGCATTACCTCTCGTCACGGTCGGCGACAATTTTTCCTCTCTCCTTATTCATTGCAAAAAGGCAAATTAATCCCCATCTGCCAGTTAGATTCAGGGCCTCTGAGATCTGCTGCGATAACCTTGTTCTACACTGTGGCTGCAGCAGAGCCGCCAAGGATTAGGTTTCATAAGGAAGCTTTTAAAGATTCACCCCATAAGTGAGAAGGGGGCTTCCGTGACCAGTGTGACCTAGAGTCCCTGAGATGGGGAGGAGGAGGCAGGAAGGCACTCGGGCTCTTCTCTGGGAAATATTAAACCTCCACACCTATTTGGATGTGAGGCTCCATTATTAATTCTAATGACAAAATGAAACTTCTGGTTAGTTTAAATGTACTGTTTAAGATGGAGTTAAATTTCCTGTGGCCTGATTAAATGTATCTGTAATTGTAACTTAACGTGTTTCTGAGAGCTTTAACTACTTTGCAATTTTTTATTCAATCATTTAAAGATGGTGGCTCTATCTATTTTAGGTTTGCTGATAATTGAATCTCAGTTCAAGAGAAAAAAAGCCACATTAATTCCAAAGGAGAATTTTTGTATTTCAAGATGGATGTGTGAGGGTATTTTGACAGATTGTCCCTGTCAGCAAAACAGTTGTGTTCACTTGGGTGTCACATTGCACAGCAGCAGCTCTCCAGAGTCTGTCAACTGGGAAAGAACAAAAGGTGTTTAAACTTCAGGAAATGTGGTGATGCCATAATAATCTGTGACTGGCAAGAGGTCTGTCTTGTTTGTTGAGGATTTGAACTCTCGTTAAGAGTTTATTTTATTTCAAAGGAACATATTCTCTGGGCATGTTTCTCTAACCCAGGTGAGAAAACCATGGTGCTGTTTAATTGTAAATAGATTGATACAAGATTGGACCAATACTTGATGTGTATAATTTTAGTATGTAGGATTTTTGTGCTTTTTTTTTTGTAAAAAAAAAGTTCAATTTTTCTCTTTGTCTTTGCCTTTATTCTGGGTTTTTGTCTTAATATCTTTATTGCACATATATATACATATATATATATATACATGTATATGTATATCTCCCATATATATATATATATATATAGGAGATCTGCTTCATTCTAGTGAGAAGTGTGAACACTCTCCTCCTTTTTAAAACCTCAACTCAATAAATAACAAGATCATTATCATCACATGTAGGCTGTGCTGTGCCAAACCACACATGGTCATTGACAGGTAACACTTCATCTCCTGCATTGAAATCTCAGTCTAAAATAGGTTGTCAGCTTTTCTGGTAAGAATGGTGCTATCATCCAAAACTCTGGGTGGGCTCCAATAGTCTGCATTTCCCAAAGACTCCTGCTGATCTGGGAAGCACTCTGAGAACTTCTGTTACAGAGTATGAATTACCCATAAACACACCAGTCGGCACTTCTGCTTTTTAACTAAAATGATGAATCTTCCAGATGATTCCACACATGTAGGTGTAGACCTGCCTCATTCCTCTTCCTGGTTGCAGTAGGATTCCCCTGTCTGTGCATAGCACAGTCGTTTCAGATTCTGCTGTGGTCTGCGTGGCTGTGCTAGTCTTGCTACTGTGAGCTGTGCACAGTGAATTTCCTCTTAGACAAATGCCCCTGTATGCCTGCGTCTGTTAGAATGTGTTCCTCCATGGCGTGCATTCTGGAGGCAGGTATGGCTCGCCCTCCAAGGAGATTTTAGGATGACTTCTTACTTCCTCATCCTTGACCAACTATTTTTTTTTTCTTTGAGAGACAGATAGCTCCTATCTACTGGTTTACTGCTCAAATGCCCATAACAAGTAGGCCTGATGCCTGGAGCCTGGAACTTGATCCAGGTTTCCCACTTGGGCAGCGGGAACCCTATGCCTTGAGCCATCATCTGTGCCTCCCGGGGTCTGCAAGAGCAGGAAGCTGGAGTCAGGAGTCTGAGGAGGGCACTGAGCCCAGGCACTCCTGTATGGCATGTGGCCATATTAACAGGTGTCCTAACTGCTAGGCCAAGCATTTGACCCCTGACCCCTGACCGGCTATTGATCTCTGGCAGTCTGGTAAGTGAAAACTGTGTCCTGTGGTTTTGTGTTTTTCTTAGCAGTAAAGTTTAGCATTTTAATGTGTATTTTATTTTTTTTTTAAAGATTTATCCATTTATTTGAAAGAGATACACGGAGAGACAGAGAGAGAGGTCCTCCATCTGCTGGTTCACTCCCCAATTGGCCTGAACGGCTGGAGCTGCACCAATCCGAACCCAGGAGCCAGGAGCTTCTTCCAGGTCTCCCACAGGGGTGCAGGGGCCCAAGAAATTGGGCCATCCTCCGCTGCTTTCCCAGGCCACAGCAGAGAGCAGGATCAGAAGTGGAGCAGCCGGGACTCACACGTGGGATGGCACCACTGCAGGCAGCGCCCCACCCACTATGTCGTAGCGCCGGCCCCCTTAACGTGTATTTTAAAAACATTTGTATTTCTGTTAATGTTCTTGTTGTGTTTTCCTATATGCCTATGACATTTTGCTCTCCATCCTCTTGATTTGTAAATACCCTTTTGATATTGAGGAAATGCTTTTCTCTCATGTGTTATCATTTTCTTTGCCCTGGGCAGAAGCAGAGGCAGGACTCAATCCCAAGCACCCTTGGATGGGATGCGGGGATCCAAAGCAGTAGGTTAATCTGCACCCCAACATGTGCCCATAAAGTTGCTCTTAAAAGGGATTTTCTGGGGCCAGCATTGTGGCACAACAGGATGCCAGGATGCTGGCATCCCGTATCAGAGCAGCAGTTAGAGTCCTGGCTGCTCCGCTTCCTATCCAGCTTCCTACTAATGTGCTTGAGAAAGCAGCAGAGGATGGCCCAAGCACATGGCTCCTGCCACCCATGTGAGAGGTCTGGATGGAGTTCCTGACTTGTGGCCTCATCTCAACCTAGCCCCAGCTGTTGCAGCCATTTGGAGAGTGAACCAGCAGATGAAAGATCTCTGTGTGTGTGCAATTCGTGTGTGTGTCACTCTGCCTCTGAAATAAATCGTTTAAAAAGAGAAGGAAGGGCTTCTAAAATTTGATAGTTGGTTCATGATACCTTATGTGGTCACCTACTTTAATGATTTCTAGAGAGGAGAGGAAAATTCTCATTCCTGAAACTTTACTCAGTGCTCTTCAAGATTTGTTTAGCCAGACTAGTGCCTGCCATGCCTATCATTGCCTTCCTTTCTCCCTGCCCCCATTGTGAATCGCATTTTCATCGCTTCTGCAGCCATGTCTGTAAGGACATGCCATCGTTACCCTTTCTACAGCTCAGGACGCCCCTTGCCCCTGGCACCCAAGAGAGAAGCATTCACTTCACTGTGGCTTCTTCAGCAGAACCACACCTGGAGCCCAAGGCTGTCTGGTGGCAAAAGCCATCCAGGCTGCCACACAAGAGGTGGCAGCTGAGAGCAGGACAAGCATGGGGATGAGGTGCCTTGGACTGCAGGCCGTCTCCGGCTACCCTCTCTGGCCACGTGGTGCTCGCCTGTCAGTGCTCTGGGGAGGCATAGCATCATGTTCGTATTTGTTTGGCAGAGGATCAGTTTGTTCTTGGAGAGTAATTCCAAAGTCTTCAAATGCTCTGCCTCTTTTTCACCCTCACAACACTTCCATGAGATAGATACATTAGTGCAGCCCCATGCAGAAAACAGATTGGAGGACAAGGGACTAGAGTTGGGTTTGGTTTTGCTGGTCCAATCAAGTTTATGTGGGACCATTGTGGGGAAAGAGGAGTTTTGGCTGCTAAACACATTAGTCATGCTCAAAAGCATGTTATTCAAGTCCCATGTCTATTAGTAAATAGAGAGAGGTATGCATAATAAGTAATGTGATTTGTATTATTGCAGACTCATGAATGACAATCTGCTATGTTCCTTATAATTAACATTCTGCATAAGGGATTTCTGAGTCAATGAATTCCCAGCTTAAACAGCATCTGCTAGAATGGAAGTGTGTGACTCAGATCCCAGGCAAACAATTGACCTTGAATTTGAATTAAGATCCCATCACTTAATTCACAGGATCAACAGTCACGCATCTGTGTATCTGGCCCCTAGTATATGGCAGTCATCGTCGTCATTAATGGGACAGGGAGGGGGAATGCACGAATGCCATGCCAAAGAACGTTTCCAGATGATGCAAGGCAGTAAGTGATTATACACAGGCAAGGGCATGGAATGGTGATTTTACCCTATAGATTAGGTCTAGCTGTCCCTGCACCTACAGAGCAGGAAGAAAACAGCCTCTCTGTCCTGAAAAGTCGGTTTCCCCCGGGGATGGGGGCAGCACAGCCCAGTTTGAAGCCTCAAGCATGCTGGTGGGCTGAGACTAGAAAGGATTCTGAGAGTACTGGACTGTCGGCGACAGATGTGAGGGAAATGTCACCTTTCGACTGCCTGGCCCCACTGAGTGTTGGCCATTATTGGGCTACACCATGACCTAAAGAGCAGAGTTGCTCTGAAACACAGCAGTCAAATTGGGACGTGTCCCAGAAAAAGTGGTTCCAGGGGCTGGCATTACGGCGCTGTGGTTTAGACCACCGCCTGCGACACCAGCATCCGGTGTGAGCGCAGGTTCGAGTCCTGACTGCTCCACTTCTGATCCAGCTCCCACCTGGAAAGCAGCAGAGGAGGATGACCCATGTGCTTGGACCCCTGCACCCATGTGGGAGACCCGGATGGGCCCTTCATGTACAAAACAAGGTAAAGATACTTTAATGCTTTAAGTTTATTTGCAAACATAGTAACTGTTTTAATTAGTCATGTTCTATATTTCAATTCTCATTTTTTCCAGGTGGCTCTCTGGGCTCACACGTGACATTCTCTTTAAGAGCAGAGATTTCCACTTCTCTTTCCCTTTCTCCTTCTCTCTCTCCTTCTGTTTTTCATTCTCTTTCTCTTTCTCTGCCTTCTGCCTTTCCTGGGACTTGTCAATGGAGAAGATAGTATATAGCTTAAATTCCTTGTAATTAAGACGCTTTTGTTGGGGAGGAAAACAAGAAAAAATTATTTCAGGTAGGACTGGATACTCTGTTTCACATAACATCTGGATTGGAATCATTTATTATTTAAAAACTCAGAAATTTAAAGGGACTCAGTAGTTTGGGCACAGTTACAATCTGATTGTAGGCTAGTACTCGGGAATGGAGAGGAACATGGGTCACTTTGGTCTCCTTGGTCAGGTCTGGACACTCCAGGCCAGCCTCTAAGGTGCTGCCCGCCGCAAGCCATAGCTTTTCACCTTAGCTCCCCGCTGCCTCCTCTTAGCAGAAGGCACCGTCTTCACCATAGCTTCCTCTTAGGATTTTGCTCACACGTTCCCATCACAGAATCCCTTCCTTTGGTCCTTAAATTAAATCGATACACCCTTCCCCAGCACCCATTACTGCCACGTTATTATATCTCCTTCTCTAAATGTCTGTGATCTGTATGCATGTTACCCAGTGTAGCACTGACTCTCCTCTTCACGGGCCTGTCCATCCCCTCTGGTTTTTTGGCCTGGTCCTAGAACCATGCAGTTCGCTCATTTGAGGGGGGATTTTCCCTCTCTCCTGGCAGGACATTTGCACTTACACGGTCCCCTGTGATGTCAAAATCATGAAAGAGCTCTTTGAGTTCCTGTTTCTTAATATTGAAGAGAAATCTATACGTGTGGAAGTTGCTGGCAGCAATTCTGAGCTCGCCGTCCAGATCAAGCAGATCAAAAACAGGCCGGGAGTGGCGGTACATAAACTGTTCTTCCAGATGGTTCTGTTTGCGAGAGAAACACATCAGGGCAGAGTTGTGGTGCCGCTTTCTAAACTTGTCCCATCTAGATTCGGATACTCCTCAGGACCCTCTCACTAACATGCACTTTGTTACATTCGCTGGTGCCCTGGTGAAATGTTGCGGCACTGCTGATAAAATGATGACCCCACACAGTCCATCCACACACAGCATCCAAGAACCACAGTTAGTCCGTCATGCTCCCCCTCACCCCCCGCACTATTTTTTCTTTCCTCTTGCTTTTAGTGAAAGGCAGAGCAATCTGACACGCTCCTGATTCCGTGCCACTTTGAGCATGGTGCTAGCAGCCGACAAGGTCTGTCTGGCCTGTCCCGGATCCCTGACCTGTGACTTGCCTGGTGTGACAGCAGGATGCAGACCAACACGTAGAACTGGTCAAAGCCAATCTCGCCCACTGCATTCCAGTCCAGCATGTCAAACACGATCTTGATCTGTGTCCCTCTCAAGTTGGTCACGTGTTTGAGGAAGTGGTAGAACAATACATCTGTGAAGGCGGGGACACAGATAACTCTAGATGCCCCAAGAGGCTAGACAGCTGGGAGCCAAAAGAGCAGTAATGGGGGAAGTCTGTTGGCCTGGGAAGAACAATGATCTGATTCGGTGTCTGGTTCCACTACGACCTTCCACAGTTCCTCGGGCCTTTAATGTCCCTTGTGGGAAACCACAGTGCCCAGGAGTGTGGAAATGGCGATGGTTTCTACCCCAGCTCACACACTCAAGTGGAGCAGACAAATGTGCACACATCACCTCCAAAGGCAAGGTGATGACATACCAGGAGCCTTCCAAAAGTCATGGAAAATGTGTATTATGGGAAAAAAAAAAAAAAAAAGAAAGAAAGAAAGAAAGAACATGGGCCAGCGCTGTGGCGCAGTGGGTTAACGCCCTGGCCTGAAGTGCCAGCATCCTATATGGGCACTGGTTCGAGACCTGGCTGCTCCACTTCCGATCCAGCTCTCTGCTATGGCCTGGGAAAGCAGTGGAGGATGGCCCAGGTCCTTGTGCCTCTGCACCCTTGTGGGAGACCTGGAAGAAGCTCCTGACTCCTGGCTTCGGATTGGCACAGCTCCAGCTGTTGCGGCCAGTTGGGGAGTGAACCATCAGATGGAAGACCTCTCTCTCTGTCTCTGCCTCTCCTTTCTCTGTGTAACTCTGACTTTCAAATAAATAAATAAATAAATATTAAAAAAAAAACAGAGCATGGATTTTAGCTTTTTAAATTTTTATTTATTTTTATGGTATCTTTGAAAGGTAGAGAAATACAGCAAGATCTTTCATCTGTCCACTAGTTTACTCCCCAAATGCCTGCAAAACCCAGGGCTGGTCCAGGACAAAGCCAGGAGCCTGAAACTCCATCCAGGTCTCCAGTGTGGGTGGCAGGGACCCATGCTCTCAAGCCATCATTTGCTGCCTCACAGGGTGTGCATCAGCAGGGAGCTGGATCAGAAGCAGAGGAGCCTGGACTGGGGCCAGGCACTCCAATATAGGACACAGGCAGCCCAAGTGGTGACTTAAGCTACTGTGCCAAATGTCCACCCCAGATTTCAATTTTTTTTTTTTTTGCATCAAAATAAACCTATTCCATTTTCCATGAACTTCTTGAAATAGCATCACATAAAACAGGCACAAAGTGCTGCTTGTGTATGGAAGAGAGAGCTTAGTTCTCACTGGGAAACTATTTGCAAATGCTGACATTTTACCCGGTCTTTCCCTTGAGATAATTTTTATTTATTTTCATTTTATTTGAAAAGCAGAGAGATGCTGGATAACTAATATTAAAGTGGGAAGTGAGACATCTATTCCTTTTCTATAAAAGTCTCAGGGGACAGGCATTAGGCAAAGCAGTTACACTGCTTGGGATGCCCATATCCCATATCAGAACACCCAGTTTGAGTCCTGGCTCTTCCACGACTGATCCAACTCCCTGCTAATGGGTACACTGGGAGGCAGCAGGCAATACCTCAGATACTTAGTTCCCTGCCACCCACATATGAGACCCAGATTTGAGTTCCAGGCTCCTGGTTTCAACCGGGCACAACCCTAGCTGTAGTAGGTATGTGGTGAATCTCTCTCAATTCTCCCCAACCACACCTCCCAACTTCATATAAAATGAAAATAAAAGCGTTAAAAATTTTTATGGGAGGGCAGGTATGGGGGGGAAGAACTACTATATTGCAAAAAGCTGTACCTAGGAAATTTATATATATTAAACAAAAGCCTTCAAAAACATTTTTTTTAAAGTTTCCATATTTCCCAAGCATGGTGGGAAGGAAGCAAAACTTCCCCACCACCTTGTATGTTAGGTACCTTAAATGCCACATCTCACTGAACTGTGACAACCCTACAGGGGACGTGGTATCAGAGCGCTTCTGTCATCACCTTTAGATATCAGTTAGTCTGATCAGCACGTCTCTGACGGGCAGACCAACCGCTTGGGGCTCTTGCAGAGCTACAGGTTCTGAACTCAGGAAGTGAGGTATGGGCAGCAAGCCCACATTTCTACAAGTTGCTAGGCAATGGGTCACTTCCGGTCCATGGACCACACTGTGGGTAGCCAAGGACCTCAAAGATGGCCATGCAAGGGCAGAGCTGGGATTCAAGTGAGGGTCTGACTGCCAGGCCTGCTCTTTCTACCAGGGAGCCCTGTCTCCTGTGCATGCACTAGTACATGTTTGATCATAAATGTTCAGAGAACAACTAACTGCTGAAAAAGAGCAGAGAAGGATTTGCCCGCCCTGGTGCTCACTACTCACCTCTCAGTGGGTATATGACAAGAGAAACAAACATGGCGGGACACCTGCACAGGGGTACAACTGTGACTTCCCACAGTTGAATACACAGATCGCAAAGGCTACCAAGGAATTCTTTGTCTACACGTGACTTCCCCTTGCCCATTGATTAAAGAAACTATCCCCCGCCTCACTGAATATGTAAATCATATCTATGCAAGTTGGAGTCCTTGCTAAGAACACAGGAAGCTGTGGTCATAGTGTCATACTTTGGAGGCTTCCGATGGCCTCTTGATGTCATTTGTCAATATCCCCCAGGAACAGCATGCTAAATATGTACCCAGCGATGGCCATGTAGTTGCTGCTTGCAGAATGCTTTCACATGGAACTCAGTAGCTATGAAATTGTGTTTTGAACCCCCTGCACTGGCCCACTCAAGTCTCCAAGGCCTTAAGTCACTCCCACCCTGAAATGCAAACTGTTGAGGCTGTGCCCTGACTGTCTGAGGTCACTCTGCAGTTCCTTGGTGAGCAGACATGAACGCGGGCACGAGCACACCTCTTGGGTATTGCCTCATCAGGGATTGAGTTTGTTACTAGGGATGCCAGTCTCAGCAAACAGCCCTGTGAGACCTAAGTGTGGAGCCAGGTGCAAGCCTTGTGGTGCAGTAGGTTAAGCCGCTGATTGGGGTGCTCACATCGCATACTGGAACACCAGTTTGAGTCCCAGCTACTCCACTTCCCATCCAGCTCCCTGTTATGGAGCTCTGGTTTTCTAGCTTTGGCCTGGCCCATTTAGGGAGTGTCACTCTGCCTTACAAGTAACTACATCTTAAAAGACAGACAAGGCCGGCGCCGCAGCTCACTAGGCTAATCCTCCGCCTAGCGGCGCCGGCACACCGGGTTCTAGTCCCGGTCGGGGCGCCGGATTCTGTCCCGGTTGCCCCTCTTCCAGGCCAGCTCTCTGCTGTGGCAAAGAGAGAGAGAGAGGAAAGGAGTCAGAAGCCCAGGGCTTCCATCCCCACTTACTTATTTTACAGCTAAGTGCCTGGCAGCTGCCTAGGGCAGGCTTATTGTGAAGATTTGGTAGCCTTGCATGTAAATATATATGGAAAGAGAAAAACGGGGGCCGGTGTTGAGGTGTAGCACCCTAAACCACCACTTGTGTCACTGGCATCCCAAATTGGCACAG